ATATATATATATATATATATATATATATATATATGTATTAGTGTATTAAATATATTTGGGTGTATGCGAATGTGTATAATAGACGAAGAAGTTTAGGGATGTTGTTTAAGGGTTGTGTGTGTTGGCTGTGTGATACATTTGATGTTGGCCGCACACAATCAATCATTTAACCCTATTTTGACAACTTTTTCTCAACCAAAAATTCCTCCCAAAAACCAAAAACTTTGCTACGCCACTCATCTACCATCTTTTCTCCACTTAAACATCTTCCACTTTGTTTTTATTTCTGCTTCATCAGTTTTTTCTCCTACTCATCGATCCGAAAATTACGAGAACAAGAACAAATAATGTTAAAAGAAAGAAAGCTGTTTTTTTAATTGCATTTTAACTAACTCTTCAAAAAATGAAGAAAACAGACTACAGATCGGCTACTTCTTTTTATTCTTTCTTTCTAGTGTTTTAAAACAAAAAATTTATACACTTATACATCGTTTAATAAAGAAATTTTAGGTGTATTTATATACATACATACAAAAGCACAAAAAGTTTCCCCCCTTATTCCCCTTTCCTGCAATCGTTCTAGTGAGTTTTTTTAGCATATGTTCAAAAAAAAAAATCAAACAATTTTCAGAGCTCAAGCAGAAATTAAGAAGAACAAAAGTGGAAGAAATAAATTTCTACTCCAGACTTCCTTCTTTTTTCTTTTTTGCAACTTTATTAATTGGAAAACCACTGCACTTACAGTATCGTAGAATAAAATTTAGAACTGAAATAATCTTTGCTGATGTTTGCTTTCTTTTCCCCATTTTTTTTCATAAATTTTTATCAGTCATGTACTCTTGAAATTACAACAAAAACACTGAGTGTTGAAACTGACTAGGGACAGTATAAAATAGAATAAAAGTACAGAAAATCAAATCAAACGGGTAGAAGAATGGTAAGGGAGTATTGGGGGACACAAAGAGAGAAGAAATGAAGAGTGGCTGCAGAAAATTGAGCACGTTCTTTACATAGTGTCCATTCGCGTTGACTGCTGCTAACTTTCTATCAGCTCTACATCTGACTCAAGATCAGCAGCTTTTTTTAAATTCTTAGCTTTAAGCTGCACCTTTTCGAACAGCACTACCGTATGTTAAGACTGTGTTTCTGAGTAACCGCACTTTTGAAAAAAAAAAAAAAAAGAGAGACACATTAACTCAGTACTGACGCACACTTAGAACAGTGTACATAGCAGATACTACATCTGTTTGCTTACAGAAAGTACAAAAATAAAATGACATTTGAGCCTGGATTTCTACATAATGCTTGCTTTTTGAAAGACTTTTTGAACATTTTTTTACTGCACATTTTTCTGCACATTTTTTTTTTTGGGGGGTGGTAAACGAACAGCAGCAAAAGCGTTTGCAGCAGCAGTGTTGAGGAAGAAAATAGTATTTGCTGAGCAAAATTCTAAACTGATTGAGTTGAGATGAGTTGAGATTTTTTTGTGCGTCGAAGCAATCGTTCATTTTGTTCACTTGTTCATTTGTTCCTTCGTTGATTCATTCATTTATGCATCCGTCCATACATCCATCTATCTCTCCATCTATCTATCTTTATCTGTTTATCTACCTATCTATCTATCCATACATTTATTCGTCCAACTATCTATCGTATTTATTTTTTGCACTAATTTACTGATTAACCGATTATTGAAGCGACTAAGTGGACTTACTAAGCGGACAAAAGTGGATAACTATTTATTAATGCTGTAGTTACCTTTATCGACACTTTACTAATTTTGATAAAAAATTTAACAACAATAAAACACAAATTGACAAAAGCACTTACCACTCAGTATCTGCGAAAATTTTTCAAACATTTTTTGTTGAAACTTTCTTCAAATTATCACTTGTAATAAAACTTTGTTTCTCTCTACAAAAAAATTAATTAAAAAATGATAAATCTTCAAAACAAAACAAAACAAAAAAAAAATAACAAAGAGAATTGAGGTAATTTTTTAAAGAAAAACAATTTTTTTTGGTTTGATCTCATCAGTTAACTAACTAACATAACTATGCTGATCATCTGATAGGCAGAACTGTTTAAGTGCTGCTGTATTAGCAGTCGCTGAAGAAGTAACTGAGATTAATTAAAATGACGTGTTTGTGTTCTCATTGTAGGTGTATTCATACGTATCAGTGTCTGCCGGTGTGATAACCCTATACATTGTTGGTACGTGAATTTATTCATCGTT